AGAGTTTAAATAAATGAACACAAGTTAATGAAAGCGCATTTAGCAGCAGAATGCGGCAGGAATCAAGGAAGGAAGGAAGGAAACCAGAACGTCGGTTCAGCGAAGGTAGAGGTTTATAGGAGGAAGGTAATTTAATGGTGGGAGTAATTATGACTCCAGAAGAGAGACGCGAAGAAGTTTTGTGAGGACAAGAACAAACTGCTTGGTCTCTACGAAAAAGAAAAAAATCCAAGTTCAGTGTCCGATCTGCAGTTCTAGAGAGTGAGCGAAACGACGGAAATGAAGAAGAAGAAGAAGAAGAAGAAGAAGAAGATAGAAAAGTGTGATGGCCCTTGTAAGGAGAATCAGGTTCTCTTCATGAAAAGAAAAGAGAAAGCGAAAGAGATGGAGCAGACGAAAAGGGAAAATGGCCTTGCAGAAGGAAGAAAGACAATCGGCCTCTCGTCTCTTCTCTTCTCAAACAAAAAAGTAAGGAAGGAGAGAGAGAGGAGAAAAGTGAAAAGAGAGAGACGCCTTTCTCTCTCTCTCTCTCTCTCTTACTTTCTCACTCTATCGGTTTCAGCGTCACACTCTCGTGAAACACCTTGCTTGTGGTGGCGAGGATAAAAAGGGAAAGAGCTTCAAGCACAACTCTCATTCAGCTGATTAATGGCGCTCCCTCCTCCCATTGAAATCACCCAATTCAGTTTCCTAATCAATTTCGTTATCAACCTAATAAATTCCCCTTCCCAATCACTTCCCACCTCCCTATTCCGCCATTGCCGAACGAGAAAGAAGAAAATTACAGAGGAAATGGAATGGGACCCTGAAGAAGAAGGAGAAGAAGACGAAGACGAAGCAGCAGAGGCAGAGCGAGGACTGACTTCTCAATTTTTTCAACTGTTGCTCTGACTCTGGCAGAATGGAGTCGCTCTCAAATAGGACTGAAAATCCCAACCTTTTGCTCTGCAGAATTAAACTCTCTCTCTTTCTCTTTCTCTTTCCTGCAGATATATACAGCAGTTTCTATCCTCACGTCATCCGGGGACGAGGCCCACAATCGACGGTCTCTAATCGTTGCGTCTTCTCAGCCGTTGGATGTGATCTTCTGACGACTGACGTGTCCGCCACGTCGGACGATAGCCCCCACCACACGACACCTCTTTTTTGTGTGTTTGCTTTAGCCCTTTTCCCTTGCCAGCGTGGACGTTGTGCTGCTGCTACCGTAATTATTGCGCTGGTGGGAGAATCGACGTCTCCAGTTCGCTCTCGATGAACATCCTGGAGTCCTGTAAGCCGTCGGATTCGTTCTCATTTAAGGCGCGGGCTGATGATACGATTCTTCATCCAAAAAGTACGGTGTGGGCTCGCTCGCTCGCTCTTGGGCCGGCCTGCCTGCCTGCATCTCATGTGGGAAGCGTGAATTCGTCATTTTCTCTCTTCTCTAAAGTCAATAAGTTGATTGAAATTGTAACACTGCAATAATGACAAGTTTTATTTTAAGTGAAATGATGAAAAGTGTAACGAATGATAAGATTCATGCTGCCTGTGCCTGGGTTTGCTTTGCTACAGATTAAACCAGACAAGCAGGGGCGGATGGGCTGATTTGATTTGTTAATTAGGGGGGCCGGCTGTAGGTTACCTGTGGACCTGGAATTGGGCCACGAGACCACCCGTTAGTGGGCCTATTTTTCTATCATCTTGCAGTTGCAGGGGCCGCTCTAGTCCTAAGAGCTATGTAGGCAGGTCTAATTGGTTGTTAACCCCCTGTTTTTTTACGGAGGAAAAGGGGGTGAAGGAAAGTGTTTGAAGGGAAATTAAATTCCCAATGCACTTTTCCTTGTTTCTGACACTATGTTCAGGAAGGAAGGGAGGAAAATGGAGAGAAAGGAAAATGAAAGGGGAAGGAAAAGGAGGGGAGAGAAAGGAAAATGAAAGGGGAAGGAAAACAAGTATTTAATGGACTTAAATATTAAAAAAGAAAGACAAAAGAAAGAACCATGTATGTGTCCCTCTCCTTTCTCTCCAAATTGGAGGGGAGGGTTCAACAGTACAAAAGGTGGAAAGTTTTCCCTCCTTCCATACTTTCCTTCCTTAAAAAACAATGGAAAACTTATTGAGAATCCCACTTTCCTTCTTCACTTTCCCTTCCCCTCCATTTCTTTCCTTAGTGAACAGAGTGTGAAAGAAGGGGGGAAGAGAAAAGAAAAGAAAATTTACTGTACCATCAATCCCTCCAAATTGGAGGGAAAGAAGAGAGAAGAAGAAAAAGTTGGCCCTTTTTATTTTTCTTTTTTGTTATCTCTCTCCTGCATCATCTCTCTCCTCCACCATCTTCACAATTCACAACCCATCAAAATAATATAAAAATATAATCAAATTATTCAATTCTTACATACCCAATAAAATAATATATCCATTACAATTTCCAATACACATTTTCCTTCCCACTTTCCTCCATAAAACATCATTTTCTTTCCAATTTCCTTAACCTCCTAATCATCCCTCTCCTCCTAATTCCCTTCCCCTCCCCTCCATTTTCCTCCCTTCCTTCGGAAACAGAGGGTAAAGGGAGGGGAGCATGTATCTCGGACTAGACTGCTGGCTGTATTTACCAAATTAGTGATTTGGTCAAAGATAAACATTTTACAAGGTAAGCATTTTTTAATTTACTGTTGTGTAAAAAGAAGTTATAGATGAGCTTTTTAAAATGTGTAATTTTTGTAAGGTTGTTGTTTTCTCTGTCATATGCTTTATTTTCTTGTTTAATATCCTAAAAAGGTCAACCTTTTGTAAGATTACCTAACGGTAAATCTGTCACGACAGTGAAGGATTAGAAGTTGCATATCCTAGGTTTGAATCCAAGCGAGGTCCATTGGTGTTCTCGGAGGTACAAGGCTGTTGGGGGTGGGGGGGGCACGCTATCCAAAGTAAAAGTCAGTGTAATAGTCGAAGTTAAAGGCGAAGTCTCGTTGGCGTCAAATTGATTGCAGGTGGCCCTCAAATTCAGTAGGCTCCGTTTTCACAGCGTGACACGTGGGACTGAGGTCCTGGATAATAAAAAAAATTATGTTATATTCAACATGTAACGTTTTTTTTATTCGCCATATATAATAATGCCTTTTATTTTAAATGCTAATTAATGTTTTTTTTATAAATTTTAATGGTTTCAAATATATATGATTTTACAACCAAACATAACCTATATTTAAAAACGATCTCCAAAATAGTAACAAATACTTTTCTACAAATAATTGACAATTATTAATAGAAATAATTGAAAACTATTGTGTTTACCAAGACAAAATAGGGAATAAATTAGTATTGAGTATGTGGAAAAGGAAGGCTTAACATTCAAAAATAGTAATAATACAATATACAATGGAAAAAAATCAATGTTTGTGAAATCGTACATGATATTATAACGAAAAATTAATGTTTGTGAAATCCTACGTAATTGCCTCAAATAATCATGAGTGCGTAGTTCTAGGCCCAATGGGTTCATTGAGGTTTGACGGTCATCTGCTCTCCTTAGCCCTACTGTCATACAGGCTCCCGAAGATCCAAACTGGATGTCTCGTTATGTGAAGATGGGCTTCATGGTCCCCCTCAAAGTGGCCGCAACCCTCAGGCCCATGCATGAACAAAATTGATTGAATGCACAAATGCAGGGAAGCAAGGTTATCAAACCGATTTATGTCAGTGTGCCGGTTTAGCAAGTGTAATGGTTCAATCGGTGACACATATCGGTTTGTGCCGATTCATACCGGTCAATATTATAAATAAAATTATAAATACTCATATTTAAACATAACATTTAACGTCAATACCTAAACATTTATACTTGAATCGAACAAATAACATCAATATTTAACTTTTATACTCATAAAATAAATAATAAAATAAATTTTATCAATTAAATTCTTTAAAATAAGGTCATTTTACTTAGAGATTCGTATATCGATCATTCCGGTTATACCGGTGGTGTCACGCCGGTTTTATGACCGGTAGCGGTTGAACCCAGTACAACCGGTGGCACGCCGGCCGGCGTGACAACCATGCAAGGAAGACAAAAACATGTGTGAATACCCGCACAAAATCGTTTCGATTATGGTAAAATCGAATTAAATGAATTACTCAATGATGCTAGGGCATGATTTTCTCATTAACCAATTTGCATCTGTCAACATAAATTTGGATAATTTTTCTCTAATAAATTAGTATTCTACATAAATAACATATTTTGATAGGGTGCTAACATCTCTTAGTGTTAACACCATACTAACATTATTTATAAGGGTATTGAATTTCTCTGTGCCCCTTTCACTGAGGTTTCACATACAAGTTATAGTTTGGTATCTATCTTAACAGATTTAATTTTTAATGCCAAAATTAATAACATGTAAGTCATAAAAACCTTATTGCCAAAATTAATTTTCACTCTGTGTTCTCATAACTTGTCACTTCACATAGGTTGTCAACCCGCGGGTCGACCCAATTTGACCCTGATCCGGTGAGAAAAACGGGCCGCATGCACCCGCCGGGCCGACCGTTATAAGGTACCGGGTTGGATTGAGTAATTTTTTTCTTTAGTTTGCGAAATGCGCCTATTTTCCAATTTTTCTTTTCGCCTAACTCAATCTTTGAAATACTAAGTTGAACATTTGAACATTTATGATATAGAAGTGTGTGTGAATTTTCACTATATGTTGGATGTAAGTACGATATATTATTTTGGTGTAATATTATATGTTATAACTCATATGTTAGATAAGATTTGATATAATTTATGAGGACAAGTACAATATAATGACTCTTTTTATATTTCCGGGCCAAACCTGGCTAAAACGGTTGACCCATTAACCCTTGACCCACTAGCTCGACCGGGTCCGGGTCAACCCACGGATTGATAACCTTGCTTCACAATGTTCCTTTTCACTCAATTTTCTCTTCTCTTCTCACTCAATTTTCTTATGACTTGAAAGCACTTTAAATGAAGAAAAAAAAAGTCTTGAAATCTGCCCAAAAATATTAAATTCTTCAAATACAATGTAACTTAACATAACTCCCCAAGAAAATAACTCCAAGTCCCAATAAAATAATCGGCATTCCAAAACAAAAAACAATAAATTGTCGAACTTTGGAAGTAACATTCAAACTTTGACATGACATGTACATTACAAAGAACATCCCTATAAGCTTTTATTACCTTTCGCAACCGAATCTGCATACACTCATTATGACAGTACTTAATAGTACCCCGGAAAAGAAAAAGAAAAAGAAAAAAAAAAAAAAAGAAATCAATACATTACACACAAGTTACAAGAAGCAAAATACAGCTGGCTCTCCTCCCCCTCCTCTCCTCTCTCCGGCCACCGGAACAGATCACTTTAATTAAGGACACTTGCGGACGCCGCCGTGGGTGGTCAAACCACCGTAGCAAGCGCACTTCTCGTAGTTACCGGCGGTGCCGGGAGGAACGCAGCTACAGCGGACACAGCAGGTCCCGCACGCCCTCTTGCAAAGGTTTGGCCTGCTGGATAACTGACACCTGGCGGTGCAAGCTCCCCCACAATCTGTGAAAAAACCCACAATTAGTCACCAAACTTTTAGCGACGGATTTATGGACTAATTCGTCACCGTAGATATAGATTAGTCGTTATTTTATTAACCGGTGCCGGTTTAATGATAAACTTACCGAATTTCGGAGCGTAGGGTGCCGGCGATGGCTGGAGATCGGCATGTGCTAGCTGGATGGCGAGAAACGAGAGGAGGAGGGAGCCGATTATTAGCGACGACCTTGTAGTGGTGGTGACAGCCATGGTTGAACTTGAAGTTTTAGTGAAGGTAGGTGGAAGTTCAAGGGAAGTGATGGTGAGGAGAGAGGTGGTGGAGGTATGGGTATTTATAAGAGGGGGAGGATGATTAGACGCGTCTAATTAATGATTAAGGTGGATAGGAGAGTTATGGATGGTATGGTAGGGGAATCAAGTTAGTCTGGAGTCTCTATGAATATTAGGGGTCGTTTGCTTCATGGATTTAAAAATGAGGGTTTTGTAATTTAAAAACCCAAGGATTTATCAAGGATTTGAGGCATCATGGATTTGTAACAATCCTTTGTTTGTTGGGATGTTTTTATCATGGATTTAAAGGTGTGGGATTTACTACTTAAAGTCAAAAATTACATTACTGCCCTTTTCTATATGTTTGACATGTTTATGATATGTACACAAAACAAGGACAAAACTTCAAAATTACCTTACTATCATTTTCTATATGTTTGACATGTTTATGATATGTACACAAAACAAGGACAATACATATTAATAAGCATAATGTTGCCACATGGACAATAATAATAAACGAGAAAATTCCGTTTTAACTTTTAACGTAACATAATCAATTCCCAATTCTTTGTTCTCCTTTTCAAAAGTGACATATAACAACATATATTAGAATCGGGAGAACAAAGAATTACACGTTCCATGAAAAGGTCAAAGAAAACTAGAACACAATAAATGATATAAAAAATCTAACTCATATTTGCACATTAATTGAACGTTTATATTTCATTTATTGTTAATTATAATGTATAATAGTTAAATTTGAGGGCAACCTTGGAATATTAAAAGTGCATGAGGGTATATGGGTAAAATCTCATCAAGGATTTATGCCATATTCCAAATCCCACATCAACATGTGGGATTTATAAGTCCGTGGGGTCCACTGATTTGGACCCTTAAAATCCGTGGGCCCCACGGATTTGGTGTCCAAAAAAGGTGCAAGCAAACAACGGATTGTACCTAAATCCTTGATAGTTGGTTTTTTGGTACCAAATCCATGTACCAAATTCTTGAAGCAAACGACCCCTTAATTAAAGCTTCTATAAAAAAAATGAGAGAGGCAAATGAGACTCAATACTGAAGTGTTTTTGAAATCCATCTAACTACAAGGTCAAATAAGATTTGGTTTATTTTGTTTTTTTAAGACAAACTCATATACAAATTTTCAGTTTGAGTCTGAATTGTTATTGAATTTCCAATTCTAATGTAATTCTTGTCTTGATTTTTTTATTTGTTCACAAACAGAATGGTGGAAATACCAACATCAAAAGTGTAACTCGGTTGAAGGCAATTGATGAGATGATCGATGTTGTCTTCTGTGTGTACAATTATCTCGACCCAAATAGACCCATTTTGGTCTGATCCAAATGAGTTCACCCAAATTGAACCCAATTCAAACTCAAAACAAAACCATTGAAAGTGCACAGGAGTCCGGTCCATTTGGATATGACTCAATATCCACATGAGATTATAATTTGTCACTACCGAGGTTGTCAAACCAGTTTAAACCGTGACACCAGTTTGGCAAGTGACGTGGTCCGACAATCTCTCTAAAGTTTTATCCATATTTAAATAAAATTACTACATTCCAAACAAAAATGAAAAATTCTAATATTTGAATAAACTTGGATCTAAAAAGTAACATAAACATCTAAATATTCATATTCGAACCCAACAAATAGCATCAATATTTAACTTTCAAATTCAAGGAACAAATCAAAAGATTGTTTTTTTTGTGATTTAAACTCTCCAAAACGACATCAATTTATTTAGAGGTATGAAATTGCTCATGCAGGAGACATTCCAACCGATTTTGTAACTAGTACCTGTTGAATCTGATTATAACAACCGACATGTCACCGATTTAACAACCATAGTCATTACATGAGCAATCTCGTTGAATCTCTAAAGAGTAAAACAACAAAACACTGACTTAAATAAGGAAAATAAAAAGTAAATATTAATTAATGCCTTGCTATATAAAAAAAAAAAGGAAAAAATCATGATGGGGTAGGGGTGCATGGTTCCATGCTGGATTAGATGACAATATGACATTAATTAGCTGGAATTTGGCTGTGGAATCGTGAAAGGAAAGGTGCAAAAGGACCAAAGGGAATGGAATGGAGCTATCAATTCATAACTCCAATTCCCCCTTTTTTTTTAACTTCTTTCTTGGATTAAACATGTTTTTAACTTCACTTGCAGTTCATGTTTGATCTCAATAGTCTCCCACACAATAGTGACTTGCTGAACTTAGTAAGTCGAGTTTCTTAGAATGATTTCCCAATTAAGAGATCTAAATCTATTAATTGGTTCAACTTAGTATCTTGTACTTGATTGTTTAACATATTTCCTGATGTACTATGACTTATACATGTTTACCTCCAAATTTAGCTTATTTAATTTAAATAACTGAACATGAATGAACTTAATTCAGCATGAGAGCTTGTGAACACATAACTTAAACATAAGCACAAGGATCGATGCAAGTAACTAATATAAGTAGTCAAATTGAATGACTAATTAAAAACTTCGAAATAGCATCTTGAACCACTTATCTTATCAACTCTAGTCAGTTGGCAACTCAGTACTGATAGGTGCTCTAGACCTAGGCGATTCGCTTTTGTGAATTTATGATCGAAATCGGATTAGATTGATTGAATTTTGGGGTTTGGCGACGAATTTCTTGATTTAGGATTGCAAAGTATAGAGGTTTTGCTCATACAACATAAATTTTAATATGATAATTTTCTGATTTCATGAACACAATATTTAACTATCTCTCTTTCAGAAAGAGATTACCGACTGTATCAAAACCTTTAGCTTAAAATGATCACATCATAAAATAGATAATTGTTTCACAGGTAGTTAGTAGTTACTAACCAGATTGATCTCCCAATTCAATCAAAATTAACCGTGAACTATTTGTGAATTAGAAAGTTCTTTGAAGGGACATAATAGTTCATGGTTAATTTTAATTGTATCTATGTGCTATTACAATAGCAATATTATTATGACAATTCAAATCATTAACTAGCAGCCCCTCCAGCTTACTTCCAGTCATCTTCCTATATTAGAATATTTGGAAAACTAGGTGTTGAGGGTATAGTTGCGGCCCAAGAGCCCAGGGCCGATAGCCCAAAAAGGAAGGCCCAACTTGTCAAAGAAAAGCCCAGAAGGGAAATCCACGCGCATAAAGGACAAGGCCCAGGGGGCAGAAGGGGTTTTCCAAGCAGGTGGGGCCGAAAGTCTGACACGAGGCGCATAAGACAAGAGACATTCAACGGTCGAAAGAGTGCGGAGACTGACTTGCTGATGACATGCGCCTCAATCCTCTGAGCGGGGTGTCAGGTGGTCGAGGCGCATGATATGGGAGGAGTACGGCGCATTAATTGCCGAGCTGACGTAGGGCGGAAGTGGATGATGTTGGTTGGCCCAACACATAGTATAAATAGTGAAGTTGGTGAACCTCATTTACTCAAGTCTGATCCTCTCACTAGAAATACTCTCTACTTCTCTCTCTAAAAACCTTGGTTCTAATTTGGGCGTCGGAGTGCTAACGAGCCCCAAAGGGGTTCGCGGTGCGTCCGTGTGTGCAGGGAGGCGCATAGTAGAGCTCGTGAGCGGAGGGTGCTAGGCGCGTAAGGGAAGGCGCAAAGTACGTGGCACAAACACTAGGAATGCCTGGCTATTCAGGAAATGCACTCCATCAGACCATGAAACTTGCATCACAGCAGTTAGGGAATTCCCGGAGTGGAAAAATTGCCTGAGACGTTCCACTCCAATTCTGATAGCTCTGAGTCAACCCAGAAGGGCCCATCTATATTCTTGCCCACCGCCATGTTCCCCCTTGATGGAGATGCAATGCAACGGATCATTCCTACATGATTCCCATGAGGCGGCTTATGATATCGTCATCACTCATCAGTAACTACCAATGACAGATTTGTGATGGACGGGCTGACTCTTTTCTTTGTTCGTCTCCGATTGAAGTTGAAGCAAATGCTATGTTAGAAGGACTGAATATTGGTCAAGAGTATAATGTGGCATGTGTGCTCTGGTTTGACTGTGAAGTTTTGGTGAAGGCTATTTCTCAGGGATCGAATTCTTGGCCATGAAGATGTGCCTCGATGATGGAAGCTATGCGGATAATCCTCGACTCAGCGCCTATGATTGAGATTCGCAAGATCCCTCGTCGTTTGAACTTCAAAGCTGACTGGGTTGCTCAATCACAAGCTCGTCATTCTGTCCCAAGCGATTAGCTTACTATTCTTGTTTTAATTTCAGCCCATATCTGATTATTGTAAAAAATAACTAGCAGACCCAAGAGTCTTTAGTAAGGCTGCCAGTACCATCACCAAGCGATTAGCTTACTATTCTTGTTTTAATTTCAGCCCATATCTGATAGCTGTTTCTTTGTATTTGATTTTCGAAGACGAATGAAATATCTGATTATTGTAAAAAATAACTAGCAGACCCAAGAGTCTTTAGTAAGGCTGCCAGTACCATCACCAAACTCGTCACTATTGTGTTATCATTATGGCCCTTATTCTTAAGTGGTCAGCTTTTAGAGACGATAACAGAACCGTGGCAAATCCTATAAAATTCTCTGTACAACCGATAATACATGCGCACACGAATAAATTCATATAAACTTTGATTTAACGTAATGGATCGGGTTCTCTCACCTCTAATACGTGTTTTAGGACTGTATTTAAGAATTCTGGACGTATGAACTTCTTGGTTGATCTTTGTTCAAACTCGGAACATTGTCCTCGACACAAGAACACGAGTTGGATTAGTTATAATTTAATTTGAGCTTAGAGATAGACCGGGGTTTAAGATTCTTACCTATTTGAGCCGTGGAAGTGGCATGATAAATAAAGTTAAATTATTTCGAAATATAGATTCTTACATAATGACAACATCATTGGATCTTAGATAATAAAATATAGTGTAAAGAAAGCAAAACCATAAGTAATTTCAGTAAATATCAATAGGTGCGAAATTCAGGGTACCGCATATTTTGAGTATGAAAACGTTAACTAGACCTCGAATTAGCAGGATTTTTGGGCATGATAGTAT